ATATATATATATATATATATATATATAATTTTAAGTTTAAATTTTATTATTTTTAATGTGATTTTTATTAATAAAAAATTATCTTCACTCTTACCGAAACCTTTTTCTTCTTCTTCTACTGTCCTACACTCTCCACTAAAAACAAATTAAGTCGACACTTGATTGAGGTGGAGGCATCAAAAGAAGAGTAGGAATATTAGAAAATATTCGGTAGAAATAAAAGAATATTAGGGGTTAAAAAAGTATTTTATTTATTTTCATTTTAAAAAATATTTTTCCTCGAAAATACATAGGTGGAGGGAAAATAAATTTGCCCTTCTGTTTTGCTTCCCTTTGAAACTTTCTTGAGAAATAAACTTCTCATGATTTACTTTTATATCGACATCTCAAAAGTTTTAATATTAATTATATTTATTAAATAATTAAATCAATTCTTATATATTAAATATAAATACCTTTTATTTAAAAGTTTTCTTCAATGAGAAGAATTTAACTTTTTATCTAATTTAATTTCATATATCATAACTAATGTAAATTAAATTTTAATACTTTTAAATAAACTACTTATAAATAAAAATAATCATGTATTATGTGTATCATAAATTTAAAATACAATTTTTTTTTAAATATTTATATGTAAATTTTAAGTACAATTTACATATTTAAATATAATATTTATATATAATTTATTATAAATTTAAGTTATATATAATTCATAATTAATGTATTGTACAAGTTAAAATATTAATAATTATATATTATTAATTTTTTATTGTTAATTTTATGATATTGCATAAATTATATCCATAAAAAATATTTTATTATAAAAATCAATTATAAATAATAGTTAGAACATATCAATACCAAATTACAAAATATAATTAAATAAAATAAAATAATAATTATAAAAAAAAAAAAAGAGTGTGTGATAACAGCTGTCAAAGAAGATGGAGGAGAAATTTTCGACGGGGATTACGCCAGTTTCCTTGCATTCGTTTAAATAATTATAATTATGGTTAGCACCTATGATTTCTTTTTCCATCTTTTTCTCTTTCTGAATTTAGTATTTGAAATTTGACATTCAAGCTTCTATCTAACTTTTCCATCTTTTTCTCTTTCGCACCTAATTCTTAATCTCATTATTTGCTTCTAAGTTTGTTTCTACTTTATGTTTGCATGGTTACCTTCAAAGAGAAAAAAAAATTGCATGTGTTGTTTGTGTACATATATTTTTCTTGACAAGTACCTTGATCAATTTGTACGAATTTGTTTAATTTAACTAGTAGTTAGTGGTTTGAAGTTGAATATGTAGTTGTGTTAAATATTAGAATAGAAAGTTTTGTTATCTTTAATGATTTATCAAATACATGTGATCTATAAAAACATGTTTGTATTATCTTTATGAAAAATTATTTTTAACAATCAGTAAATAATGTTTGGTTTGTATTGTTAAATAAAATATGAATAGAATATATTTTGGTCTTTCCAAAATGCACAATCTAGAACATCTCATCCTAAAATAAAATATGTTTATCTAGAACACTCAATCTGGGACAATATTTTTCTGGAACACTCATTCTTCATCAACATCTTCTGAATTGGTTGTTCCAGATAAGAAATGATCTGGATGTTTATTTCAAAAAGAAAAACAATGACTCGGATTGGGTGCATATCAAACAGTCCCAAAAACTTATTCTAGAAACTAGAAAGGTAAAAACACATTCAAAATATGTGTTTCAGATAAATAAAAACACATCTGAAATATGTTTCAGAGACTACAAGTGAAAGGTAAAAGGTCTGGGAATAATAAGTAAACAGTGAAGAAAAAGGAAATGGTAGTTTAGAAATTTTTTAAACATGACAGGTGTATGGGCAATTAAGGGGGTAGGAAGCAAATGCCTCAAACGAAACCCAACTTGAAATAATTCTCTATGCAGAAATCTCTTAGGATAAGAATTTATTCGAAGTCAAAGTCCAATAAAACAAAACCAACACAACTCATGATACCCGTATATCATGAAGTAAAGAATGAGTTAATCTAATCATGTTACTCATGTCAAGAGTTTACAAAATGGTAGTTAAAGATCTATTTCTATATTGCATTAGAAGTGAGAAATTGTGTCACAAAAACAGGGTACAATTGTGATGTTTCAAACCTTTCCAATAGAAAAATTGATAGCTTTTGAGGTTTATCCCAAGTTAGGAAATAATCTCAAAACTCATTAAATTACTCACAGAATGATTAGTATGTTCAAGAAACTATGTTTTTGATCTTGATGTTTGAAGATGATATCATTATATATGGATTATGTAATGATCCTTCCTGATCTATTGTCAACCAGATGAATTTCAAATTATCTTAATAAAAATATGTTATGAATATTTAATAGTGATTATCCATTATTTGTAATCATTTTTGTCTATAAATACATTATTTCATTGGTAAAAGTGATACAATAAATTCTCTATTTTTCTTTTGTTATTCGCTATACATTCTCTTCTTTCTCTCTATTATTTTTATATTACTTATTATGACTTAATCATAATTTTCATATTAGATATTAACACTGTAACACTTAATAATCTATACTGATATGATACTAACATGTCAATATTTTAATTAAATTTTAGAAATCAAGTTTACAAATCAACCAAAATTATATGATTATAATAGTATAAAGATCAAATTTGCAAAATAAATAAAAAGACTAAATTCAAATTTTTATGATAATAAGAGGACAAAAGATATAATTCAACAAAAAAAAATAAGCATAAAATGTGCAAGCATAACATTACAAAGGAAAAAAAATAACAATGTTTAATTATAGAAAAGCTATGGCAAAAGAAAAAAAAATAGAAGAATGATAGGGTGAAAAAACTGTTTCAGGTAGAAAAATGAAAAAGACAATAAATTTGTGGGTCATTTTATTTTTTTAGTAATAGTTAATAATATGAGGAAGGTAAGGACTGAAATTCTCAGCCAATCTTTTTAAAAGTTTAAGTTACTCAAGTTAAAATCAATTAATCATTGAGAAAACAGCATCAAGCATCAAGATGTCAATAAACAGAACCAAGCATCAAGATGTGTATTGACGCTACATTAAAGAGTGTGTTTGATTTCCAATTTGAAAATGACACAAGTATATTCATTTGAAAACTTCTTCTCATACACGTCTCCATTTAGTTGCAGTAAGGAGTGTACTTTTTCTTTCTTCTTTTTTTCAGAAATAAACACTCTAGAGCAATCATTCAAATTTTTTTTAATAATAATAATAATAAATAATAAAAAAAATAAAAAGGAAACAAGGAGACAAAGAACCGGTTCGCACCATCAAAGGGAGACAACTAAGAAAACTGAAATTTGAGAAGCGAACCCAGGGGGTTGCCAATTGAAAAATGTTTTAGATTGTCCAATTTGATTACAGGCAAAGGAAAGAAGCATGTCCAGGTTGGTTAAAATGGTCTTGCAGCTTCTTCCATCATCTTCTTTACTCTTGTCAACTTCTCAATCTCCTTAAGAGCCTGAAATTAGTTAAAACAATAAGAATAAGAATAATGCTTCAACAATAACAACAACAATAGCCTTTTAAGAATAAGAATAATGCTACACATACCAAAAAAGACAAAAATCAGTCAAAACTTGTCAACATCCATTAGTAATAGTTGGTTCGGTCAAAATGGTAGGAGCAATTACTTTGGAATACATTTTTTGAAATAGCGTAGAAAAGGATCTCACTCATGAACCATTTTTACCCTGAGATTGCAAATTTCATGTTTGTCTATGGAGAATGGATCTGATTACATTAGTGTCTGTAATGAATTTTTTTTGTATAATACAAATAGATAGGGTCTCATTGGTAAGTGTTGTGCTACAAGATATCGTACATCTAAACCCATTGTTATGGACTCACCAATTAGTATGGAATATTTTTGTTTTTCCAAGTGAAATCCCCTAATATATGAAAGAGCAAAAAAAGTGTTTTCGATGTTGTGGAATAAGAACTAGAAACCATTCATCCATCCATTGCTAATAACAATGGTAAACCACAAGAAACAGTTAGCATGGCATGCATGAAATTGCTTGCATAAAAATTATAACCTCTAAAGCCAAGTCTTCTCTTGTAATTTCATCTAAGTTGTCACAATCCAACCAAGATGCTACTTCTGTAAAAAGAAAGAATATATTAGGACTTGACAAACATTTGTAAACCACCCCTACCTCCCCTTGCTTAACCAAACTGTAAATAAAACAGCCAGGAAAGGTTATTTACTTTGAACTGAAATAGTAGCATCAGCTGTAGCATATCCATCTCTGTATTTATCGTATAGAGCACCTAGTTCATCCTTTACCTATTATCATTATCAGAGGCATTAACAAACAGGGAATTATTAGATTTACTGAAAGAAGAAGTTTGTACACTTGTGTCACTACAGTTTTCATAGTAGGGAGTAAACCTCTGGGTATGATCCTGAAATAGATATTTCAGATGGGGCAAATTGACTCTGGTCTTCAATTACATCCCTAGCCACAAAATCTAGAGGCACATCTATCCACAATGAAATCCCATATCTCAAAAGTGCCCTATGTCAATTTAAGACCAAGTCAAGATAATACTGAGGTTAACATGGAGTTTGGCAAAATTATGTCTGACATCATTGTCAATTTTTTTTCACACATTTATGCAATCAGTGAATTGGAACTGTTGGATAAAAATCAGACGGCTCAAATCTCAAATGCATGTTTTAGTCAAATTTATTGAGATAAAATGAGGCATTGGATCTTCATCCAACAGTTCCAATTCATTGAATGCGTGATTGCATGAAAAAAACTGCAGCACATCCAGATTGTGAGCTCAAATAGCTCACAGTTATAACCATACAGATTAGTTGAACTTGTAACAGCGCCATTTCCCACACAAACCACTAGGCGACCCATAGATGATAATTGCTTCAGTACTTCAGTCTGCAGAATTTCACATGTAAAACATAAGTATTTGATAATCTAATTCAACAGTTAAGTGATGGAAACAAACATCTTTATCCTAATATTTCAGTTAAAAAATTTAGAATACTAAGGTCACACCACTAGTTGTGAGACTCGTGCCCTTCTAGAGTCAACAATGTTCTAATGCACAGATGACCTACCAGTAGGAACTCATAGAGCAATTAAGCACACATCCAAAAAAACATTCAGCAAGTCTAATACAATCAAGGTTTAACATAGTCCTGCAAATATATCAAATTTTGGTTTTAGCTTCTATAATGTTTTTCTGTTCACTTTGATCTTGACAAATTTTAAAAGTTTTGAAAACAGTCCCTCTAATGGCATGTCATGTGTTTAAGTTACATGTCACCTTATACTAGTAGCTAATATAGCATGTCCTGTGTCATTAAATGAAGAGAAAGAACATTTTAAAAGAAATTGCATTTATGAGAACCAAAACCAATGAAAAACAAATTACAGTGATTAAAACCAAAATTCATCATATATTTTTACAGACACTAAAACTGCAATCAATCACCTCAGACTCATAGAAGCCTTTTCCATCACTCTCTCTAAAGGATTTTGCAGCATGTGCACCACCTACAGCTTCTTCCACCAAACTATCACTGTACAGAGCACATAACCATCAAGTATAGCTAATAATTGGAAGCTCCCATTTGTATCAGAGAAAAAATATCAGACCAATACGCACCTGTCGAAATAATAATATCGTAACACATCAGCCAGCAGCTTCCCCAAACTGGTTTTGAGAGAGCTTTTCAGACCTTGAACAAATATAATCAGATTGAGTCACATATTCAAAAAAAGGTATTTTGACCCAACTTTCTTAACTATAACTAGTATTTTGGTCATACTTTTCCAAAAGAAAAAGAAATCTTCAAAAATCAGACAGCATATTTTTTATAAAAGAAAAAAAAAATAGTTTTCAAATCTCTCAGTTTTCTCTCACTCTACTCTTTCTTGTTCCTTGCTCTTTCCTCTCTCCCCAGCTCTTTTCTCTCCCTACTCTTTCTTGCTCCTCACTCCTCCCTTAGGAATGAATTCTTTCAATTGTATTCTCTCTTGAGAAAATCTCCACCATCAAAACCCTATGCCCCTTATATTATTATTTAAATTCTCTCTTATTTTTAATTGAGAACTGAGACTCCACTAGACAGAAATGTCAAGTGGGGATTTAAGTCCCTCTTATCCCTCCCTAGCTCTCTCTCTCCTCCACGTTGTTCTCATGTCATCTCTTTTAAAGTAAAAGAAACAAAAATATAAAATAATATCTTTGAAGAAGGCTAACAACACATTATCTCATACACTTTGTTTTCTTATTCACGAGAATGAAACTTGGTACCAAAAGGTTTACGACAATCACACACCTTGTTCAATTCAATCAGCAGCGGTAGACCTCATTGGTACATTATCTGGTACACTACTTCTAACATACTATTTGCTAGTAACTAAAATTTATTGAAAACTTCATAATATTGAGACACATTAAATAAGTAGGCCTATAAATTTTGTAATTTCCAATAAACTTCAGTTAAAAACATATTTAAAAGAACATTTTAAAAGAAAATACACATAAATTCATTTTTAGTCCCTATAGTTTCACGAATGTGCAATTTTCGTCCTCCAAGATTTTTTATTTCAAATTTGATCCCATAGTTTTCACAAGTAAGCAATGTTGGTCCACCTATTAACATGTCATCCAAAACTAAATAGAAAATGTTGACATGTTTGTAAATCATACTCTCAACATTTAGTTAGCCATGTTGAGAGTTAGTTAACCAAAATTGCACATTTCCGAAACTATAGCAACTAAAAAATAGACTTAAGCCTAAAAATTACTACATTGGTAGCATTTGTGGGTATTGGGTAACTTTTACTTCACTCTTAAAACTGTTATTAGCCAACCAGTGTTTTGGGAACCAGTTGAGTTAAACTCAACTGTAGTTGAAAACAAAAAACCTAGACTCACAAACTTTTACTTTTTTTCATCAAAACACGAATTTTTCCATTGAAATTGATTTTAAACCGATATCCAAACACACAAGAAATTGATAAGCTTTGTGCTATTCTTACCAACCAGAAATATGGAGGTCCCTTTGAGCTCAGGAGACACCTCTGCTGCTTTCTTCTGAACCAAAACAAAAGCAAACAGTTAAACACAACGTTCTACCTAACCACACCGCTTAATTCAACAACCTCTCTCACCTTCACCGCGAGAGAAGAGTCAGAGGCACCAACCCAAGCTGAACGAACAAACAAACGTAACAGCATTCATTAACTAACTAACTAACTAACTAACTAACTAACTAATAACTAACTAATTGCAACACGAGGCTTACACGGAACGGCGCCGTCTGATATGGAGCAATTGGGCCTGCGCAATCGAAGGGGCCTTGGGTTTGGGAAGGTGGGGAAGGAAGTGGGGTGTTTGAATTGAAGAAAAGCGCAGGTGCGATTAGGAAGTGGGAGACGAGTATTCATGTGGCTCAAGCTTGCCTTCTCCATTCTAATCGATTATCTATCTCTTCTCCATTCTTCTTTCTTCTTTCAACTATAAACTAAATATAATATTATTTTTTTCTCAACATTTTATTTCCATTATTGTCCTGTCTATAATATATAATAAAAAAAAACCCAAAAAAGAAAAAAAAAATGCCATTTTTAGATCATTAACATTTTAATTATTTTCTTTATTTTTTATTTATTACTGATTTTAGTTAAAATGATTAATCAAATAAAAATAAAATAATTAAATTTAAAATAATTAAAAATATTTTTATGTACATATTTTAATTAAGTAATGTATTTATTAGTTTATATGAATAAAATAATTATGTAATTCTTATTATTTATTTTAATTTTTAATATATTATGAAAAATAATTTTTTATTATTTTTAATATTATTCTTTTTCAATATATTAATTATTTTTAACATTAATTTCTATATATATATATATATATATATTAATAAAAAAAATTATATTTTACACTAAATATTTATGATTTATCGTACTATATTATCATCTCTTAAGAGACAAAATCATTGTTTGTGATATATTAAAAAAGTATATTTTAATCAAAATCATTAAATTGAAATGTAAAAATCTTTCAAATTTTCATGTTTAAATACAGTCTTTTTTTGTAATTTTATTTTTCTATAATTATATTGTAATTAGTGTATTATAATATTATTTTATTATATAAAGTTACACTAACAATCAAAAAAAATTTCAACAATCATCTCCGTTGTTGCTATCACATGGTAGTGACTGTATCGATGACTATGTTGGTGGCATGGTTCATTAACATGACGGTGGTGGTAACAACAACAAATGTAATGGTGAAGGTGATAAGATTGACAAATAATTGTTAATATTATTTTTAGGTTTAAATATATTTTTAGTCCCTATAAAATTAATAGATTTTCATTTTGGTACTTATTGCTCCGCATGTCATAATACATAATATAATATATACTAAATAATCTTGATATAATAAATAAACTCAAAACTCATGTTGGTAGAAAGAATCATATTTTAATATAAATTAAACTTAGCAAAAATAACAAATTACAAGGGAAATAAAATCAACTACTCAATTTAAATAACATAAACCAAATCTTAACTAGTCCTAACTAATCTTCGGTGTTACATGTTCTATCAAAGTAAAACCCAATGTTTAGGACTAAGTCTCATAACTGACATCGTCAACACCATGCTAATAATTACCTGCAAAAACCACAAGAAGACAACACAAAAGAAAAGGGAGTGAGAAACATTGTTAAGTTAGACGAAGCAATTTCCAGCAAGGTTTTGAATATGAAAAATATAATACATATTGTTATTACTAATCTGTGTAGTAGTGTTTCAAATATGTATAAGGACAAGAAAAACTAAAGCATGAAGAAGGGTCAAGCAAAACAAAGATCAGACAAATCAAGCCAAATAATAAAAAGATCATGGCTTGCGCATCAGACGACAACGAATACCAAACGAAGATATGCCAAGAACAATCCAGAGCGCAATATAAGAAATCAGAAACAAGAGTAAAACAAGACCAAAACAAAGTTGGTTCACCACCAAATAAACATCAGATAAAGCTCAATGGTCAACCACATAAGTCAACAAAATAATCATCAGTCGTTGGATAACACAAGATGAAGAAACATTTTAGACGGCATAAAAGTCGTTCACCCTCAAGACTAATCAACGAGATGAAAAAGTCAAAGTCTAACCCTTAGACGGAGACTCAAATTTTCATACACAAATGAAGCATGATGAAACGCGTCAAAAGTCCACTAGTCACAACGAAGAAGATTATATATCATCTCCACTCACAAGAAAAGCGCACGGAGTCATCAAAGAAATGAAAAAAATTGAAGAGCACGAATTCACAAGTCAAAGTTGTGTGTGTCAGGACAAGTACAACTACTTTTTAGAGAAAGGCAACACCTTTACAGCTACAATGAGAGAAAAAGGACAAACATAACTAGGTCATGATTGAAGTCAGAAATAAAAGGGAACAAATTATGCAAAGGACTTCACGTAACACAGGTTGAGCAAGCAAAGCATTTAATACAAAATCAAACGCATTAAATGAAAAAGATCTATGTAGCCATGAACAAACGTTTAACTGCACCAACGGAAAGCTCCGCCTCAACGAACAGATTCAAATTCAAACAACGGGCAGATTTATCACAAGGCTATAAATAACAAGACCTGAGAAGAAAAGATAGAGAAAAGAAGAAACAAGCAACAAGCAAAATCAAGTGTCAAAACAATCTCACCTCTCTTCTTGTTCAAAGTTGAATATTCGTCTAAAACTAAGATAGTTTATCTTAGTGAGTGTAGAAAGTACCGTATCCTCTATGTGAGAGTTACATACACACTCTAAACACATACTTGTGAAAATTAAGGTTGAATACCTTAGTGAGTGTAGAAACCATTTTATCCTCTCTATGAGAGTCACATACACACTCAAAACATCTATCATCTGTAAAGCCTGAAGAGGCTAGCAAAAGAATACTTGTAGAACCAGAAGTAGTTTAAGAATACTAGCGTCAGCAAGTGAAGTTGATGAACCAGGAGTGGTTAAGAATACTCGGGCAACTAGAAGTGGTTTAAGAATACTAGCGTCAACAAGTGAAGTTGACGAATCAGAAATGGTTAAGAATACTTGTAATCAGTTGTGATTAGTGGAACCCTTCAGTTGAAGGAGACTAGACGTAGCTCAAAATGAGTGAACCAGTATAAAAACTCTGTGCATTGTTATTTGATTTAGAAACGTAGTTTTACTCATATTAACTTATCACTCTGAAAAACTTCGTCTACTACTACCTATTCTCTAAACAATATTTAGACGAATTTAATTTGTTTAACTTAGGAAACCATTTTCGAACAGACGATAGATCTTTGGACGCAAAGTTCCTTTTAACCAATCTTGCACTTTCCTTACACAGTTGAAACATTATTTTCTGACGGAAAGTAGCACCTTTGTGAAAACATTTTTAAAATCCTTCGTTCACACGCATTCAACCCCCCTTCTGTGTGTTTTTCACTAAACTTCAATTGGTATTAGAGCTTGAGCCCTAGGGTTGAGCATCTAACATTGCAGGGGAACAATCAATGGAAAACGAAGGGCAGACGGTAAACTGCCCACCTCTCTTTAAAGGAACCAACTATGACTACTAGAGACAAAGAATGATCACATTCTTTGATGCTTGTCATATAGACATATGGGAGGTTGTAGAACAAGGAGACTACATTCCACATGATGATGCTGGTAGGGAGATACCCAAGGGACGTTGGAATGAAAATCAAAAACAAATATTTATGCTAAACTCCAAAGCCAGAAATGCACTCATGTGTGCTCTAACCGAGGAAGAATACACCAAAGTACACAACTTCAGGAGCGCCAAACAAATGTGGGATACCCTAGCCATAACCTATGAGGGATCCTTGGAGGTAAAACGCAACAAGTTAAGCTTGTTGGTCCGTAAGTATGAACTCTTCGAGATGGAAGAGAACAAATCTATCCAAACTATGTTTGGAAAATTTCAAACTATTATTAATGAACTCTCTTTTCTAGGTAGAACTTATGATAATTTTGATCATATTGACAAATTACTTTGTAGTCTACCCAGGAAGTGGAGACCCCAAGTCACGGCACTAAGAGCATCCAAAGATCTTGAAAAGCTCTCACTAGAAGAACTAATTGGACTACTCAAAGTCCATGAGATGGAGCTACAACAAGATGAAGTAAGACGAAAACAAAAGTCCATTGCACTAAGTGTACAAAAGACGAAACCTACGTCATCATCCTCAAAAGCCTTAAAGGCAGAATAAGCATCTGACGAGAGCTGTGACGAAGAGACGTGTGATTTAGACGATGAGAAATCCCTCTTGTATAGAAAAATATATATCATGATGAAGAAAAAGGGAGGATCACGTTGGAGAAAATACAACAGAACTCCAAGAGAAAAGGCACAACCACTGTGCTATGAATGCAAGAAACCTAGACACTACAAAATAGAATGTCCAGAGTTAGAAAAAGAAAAGGAGAAAGAAAAGAAGTCAACTCTCCACAAAAAGAAGAAGGCCATGATGGACACCTGAGAAGATCTAGATACGACATCATCTAAAGATGATGAACAGGCGAACATATGTCTCATGGCAGACACAGACTCGTCATCTGAATCTGATGATGAAGAGGTTAGTAAATCTGATTTCAAAGATCTTCAGCATGCATATAATCAGCTTTTAATTGATTCTGCTAAGATCTATATTGCATATAAAGAACAAAAGAAAAGAATTTCTAAACTACTTGAAGAAAATATTTTGCTCAAGAATAAAAATGCAAAACTATCAAAAGAATTAGAAAAAAGGACTTAAAGAAATTGAAATATTAAAATCTGATTTATCAAAGTTTACTCTAGGAACTAAGAACCTTGAAAATCTTTTGAAATACTCTAAGAGTAAAAATGATAAGTCTGGATTAGGGTACGTTGATTCTGAATCAGAAAACAAAGCAAGTACATCTGCATATCCTACATATAATGGGGATTTCACGCCTAAGTGTAGTCACATGCACAAGAAGGGTATTCCAAAACCTCAAACACTAGCATTTATGGACCCAAATCCATTTGTGTACCAAAGACTAAAATAATATCTGTTGCAGATCTGTCCAACAAAAAGAAGAAGTGTCCAGTCATGGTGCCTGAACAGTGGCGGCTCGCGACACATGACGGGTGAAAGGTCTATGTTCCTAGACCTCAAGTCCAAGAAAAGAGGCCTAGTCACATTCAATGGAGGACAAAAAAGATAAATCATGGGGATAGGTAAAATAGGTATAAATTCCTCCATCACCATTGATAATGTCTTGTATGTTAAAGGATTAACATATAACTTGTTGAGCATAAGTCAATTATGTGATAGTGGTTACGAAGTTTCCTTCAACAAAAATAAATGTATTGTTAGTCAAACTGATTCATCCATATTATTTACAACTAACAGATGCAATAACTTGTACAAAA